ATTTTTGAGACTTAAAATCTTCTTTTTTTTCATAATCATACAGATCAATCAAAGGGTTTTTCAGCATTAAAACCACCTTTTCCAATGGATTTTTTAACTGCATCTGCAGTACTACATTATAAGGTCGCATCCTTATATAAACTTTTCCCTTGCCTTAACGAATATTTAAAAGTCGCAACAAAAACTATCTTAAATTTTCCTTGGTTGATGCCATACGCTTTATTTTTTTTCTTTTTTTTTTTTCCCCTTAAGGGTATGGTTTGTATAAAATTAAGACCCTAAAAAACAAAATAAAACGCACCTGGAAATAGTATTCAAAAATATTATTTTAATACTGAATCTTTGTGATGACCTGAAAATTTATTTTCATCTCTAAATATAAAATTTAAAACTTCGAAAATATTGTAAATCAAATATCTATGAACACTTGATAATCTTGAACAACATAGAAAAACACACTTGAACAACTATGAACACTAGATAATCTTGAACCGAGAAAAACACACTTGATAATCTAAGTCCTACAAATACATTACGCACACACTTGATAATCTGAGTCCTACAAATACATTACGCACTATTTCCAAGACTTTGAAATCCATTTTTTCTCATATTCACACATCATGAGATCAAAATGATCGATCTAAAGATTTTTTTAGCATCAAAACTTCTTCCATGAATGTTTTAGGTGCACCTTAATTTGATGGTTTAGCACCTCCATAATATAAACTTCCTTTTTTAAAATTCTTTGCTGGAAACCATCCTTGTAAGAGTCCCAACCAGCCCATGCAAGTTGAAATGACATTTTTATAGGCACACCAGCAGAGATTAATTGTAAAGACTAGAAAGGGTCAAAAGTTTACCAAACCCATCTATGAAAGAATAAAATCCAAAAAAAAAATACAGAAAATAAAAAATCCATAAAACCATAGTTGAAAATAAATAATTAGAAATAATAATTCTAATAAAAAATTCATTTGAACCGTAAGTTTCAATTGTTTTTAGATCGACCACCTATTTTCATCCATCTTTAAGATGTATGTTTTATATCTTAACACTGCATATTGTAGAAACGCGGTCCCACCCGCATGAAACAATTTCCCAAAAAGAAAACACCAGCATTTCCTTAACCTAGGGCCTCTAAAACTAAATATAAGAGGGCTCAATAACCTCAGCTCCAATCCAAAAGTCTTACAGATTCTTGTTCAATATGCTAAAACATTACTGGCTGCCTCATCCTCAGGGGAGGTTTGATTTGTGGATGACGGGACAGCCCCATCTTCTATGCACTTTGGAAACCGAAGCCCCGGCTACGCCGAATATGTCTTTTTTATACTGATTTGGAGGCCATAGGAAGCAGCAGGTTCCAGCTAACAAAAACAACGCCCTTGAGGTCACAGAGCTCAATGGACAACAACGCACTTGAAGGAAAATAGACACAATCCTACAGTCATCACAATCTCATAAAGGGAACTGCACCAAGATTACATATAATGGTGCCAACTCCAAAGAGAACCATTAAATCCTTACCTAATTTTTTAAGATAACTCGGACCAACAAACAACTAAAAAAACTCCTATATCAAACCATATCACCATCATCCAAGCCTTACCCCAACTATTTAGAATCGGCTATATACCAAACTACATAGAGATACTTTGATTTATAGAACATTGGGTGTTGACTCTATAGAGCATTGGATGTCGACTCCAAAGAAACCACAACACAACTTCTAACTTCAAAATATTCATTTTAAAGACACTCATATAAATATCATCATCATCATAAAGGAGTAAGTGACTGCAGAGAGATCATTGAAAAAGGAAGTAGCAACAGGCATAAGCTTCAACTTGGAAGAAGTCGAAAAGGCTTGCTTGCAAAGATCACGTCAAGACACTACATCATCATCGTCAAAGCCTTTAAATTAATGTCAGCTACATAAATCCGAGTACACCAATCTGTCCTATTGGAGACAATACCCTCAATGAGGCCATAAACCCCCATATCTTTTCTCACTACTTCCAACTTGAAGAAAGTCTAAAAGTCAATGAGGCCATAAGCCCCCATATCTTTTCTCACTACTTCCAACTTGAAGAAAGTCTAAAAGTCTTGATTCCAAAGATCATGTCTCTGAAGACTCTACATGCATCACCTAAAGGGACACTTTACACCAAAAACCAATTTATCTATCAAGAAAATATGAGAGACACCATGGGAGAACATTACAAACCATAAATCTGCATCAATTTGTCAGCACTTTATATCAAATATCTCCTCTGAATTCTCCATCTTCCCTCTGTTAAATTGAAAATATAAGAAGTCCTTTCAATGGAGAATTACAACCCATAAAATCCCATGAGTTCAAGAAGGAAAATGCCATCCAAAATCTTAATCATCATCATCATCCAAGCCTAATCCCATGGATATTAATCAGTAGCAAAATAGTTTGCAAACGCACACTGGTTCTTTCCATTGTAACCAAAACGTCCTGAATTTGCATTGTCTTCTGCATTAATAAACAGCATTGATTGACACTGCAGCAGACCATTATTAAAGCCTTCCCTGCAGATAGCTTCATCTTTTGCGTCCTCAAAAGAGTAACAAAACCATGAATTTCTTTCTTTGTCTGGAAATAAATACCAAATCTCTTTCCACAATGCAACTCAGCCAACATCATAGAAAGCTCATATCAATCATCACTTATTCTGATGGTCCAATCTACCATGTTGCCTGATAACTTGCTTCATCAATACATAATGCTCCCTTGAATAGCCATCAAATATTTAAAAAGAAATTTGAATCTCTCCAGTTGGATGGCTATCCCAAAATCCTAGCTCTATCAAATGCAAATAAATACAAATCTCCAACAATGATGGAGCTGCCACACAAACTTCTAAACAAGTGAAAACACAGAATTTCCAAGAAACAGATATAAAAGCAAAAAATACAAACATTCATAGCCCATAAGGCTTTTTTCTGGACTCTCTATTTTGACAAATTAATGTAGTTGACAAACAGTACAATCTATTCAAATTTACCTCCAGAAAACATGGTGTGACAAACATTCATCAACACACGTAACGCCCACGAACTCAAATCGCGTCTTTCATATATCCTGAAGTGTGTACCAACTACTTTTTTAATTATAATAGTTGTGTACCCAGGTTCTTCCAGACAAATATTGATAAATAGAAAATGTGATCCTGAAACCTAGAAACTAGGAAACTACCAACCTAGTCCCCAAAATGATCTCCTATAACCCCTTAATGGTCACCAATAAACCAACCACCACAATGATACCTCACCACCAAGAAGATTATGGAAGTACCCAACCCTCCAGTCATTCACATGCCATCTCTACATAGACACAGTCAATTGCACCACTCTCAGTTAAGGACCCCGGACCTGTGCTGTGCTTAGAGATGGCACATCCAATATGTTGTTGTACCTTTCTAACCAGAAGCCGCACATGAGAATGTGAACCTAACCTACCTTAACTACTAGCTTGTGAGTACAAAATCTCGCCTGTCCATACTTACAGAGCACCATACATGTACAGAGGCCTAGAAAGTGCTAAATGCAATCAGTAATGAGATGTACAGATGCAAGCAACCAATAAAAAACATCTCAGGGATCGGGAGACAGCTTGATTGGCAACTGGACACATCATTACAAAAATAACTCATATTAGTACTTTTTCCCCATTCCATCTACCAATCAACAAGAAAATGTATCGATGATGAATAGTACATGCATTACATAAGAACCAAGATTATGTATAAAATACTAAAACCCTTTTATTTCTCTTCAGTACCAGAAACGCAACTTAAACAACAAGACCAACCATCCAAAAAAAATGTCATAGAAGCATTAAATAGTATCAAACACATGACAACAAGAACAATATTTTAAACAAGTTTGTAGTTCAATGGTAAAGTACATAATTTCTATTATCTTCCACCACATAACTTTTTTCAAACTGCAGTAATAACAGGTAATGTACACAAATCAATACTAAAGAAACAATTTACATCAGCAATTGTAACTTTCTTGTAATTTCCCAGCAACAAATGGTGTGTGTGCATATATATCAAGATCTTTGAACCCAGAAACGTTTGTGATACGGTACTACTAAAAAAATTATGTAAATTGACGTAAACTAGACCCACGTTACAGTATAGTAAAAATATCTCACACAGTAATTTAATCAAACCAACTGGTAGCCAGCCACACTCACCTTCATTAACCATCAAAACAAAGGGGTAAAAAAGTTTATATAGAGCCGAGCCTCTAAACAATCAAATTTGAGCCTACCTCAAAAATTCCACTAGAAGAGGTTGTTTTGATACCCAAATATCTTCAAATTTATCATCTCGACATCAAGATGCATGGACATGAGAAAACAAAATGGATTTCAAGTTATAGAAATAGTGTATTTTAATGAATTTTTGGACCGTCAATTTCAAGATTTTAAAGTTTTCATAGATATGTCGATCTAAACTATTTTTGAAGCTTTAAACTTTATAAATAAATATGAAAATATATTTTAAGGCTATAACAAAGATTTCCAGTATTGAAATCACATTTCTCAACACTATTTGAAGGTAAGCTCTAATTTGATTGTTTTGAGCCTACGATCTATTCAAACCGCACCCAGGAAAAAAAATAGCTCTATTTACTTAACAAGGAGAATTGGAAAAGTGATTTGAAACAAGCATCATACAGCCCACTAGAAAGCAGTCTGTCCAACCAACTTCACTAGAAAGCAGTCTGTCCAACCAACTTCAACATAATAAAAAAAACACATCCACCAATGCTTCCATCTTCTTCATGTTTATCAGTATTGAGACCTGATCTTTTAAATTTTTGTAAGTCTAAAATGCAAAGATATACAGAACAGCCAAGATTTACATGCTAAAATAACTATTTTGCCTAGGGTTCCCCACTAATACATAGCATACAAAACAAGCCTAAAAAGGTAATGAAAAAAAATAAAGTTAGAACACAAAGAAAACACCTATCAAGCAATATACGTGAAGAGCACAAACCAAGCCTCGCTTAAAGCAAGTTATTAAGTTCAGGGGCTAACACTTCCAAAGTAAAGGCCATATAAAGAGCAAACAAAAACCAAAACTATACATCTAACCATATAACATGGCATTAAGTTGCAATCAAACCTGCTACAAACCAGAGAAAAGCTCACACACCAAAGTGAATTGACAAGGCCCATGCCAATCAACTGGGAATACCAACCAAGTTTAAAGACAGAAAAGGTGCCCCGTATTTCAACCACCCCTAAGAAGTAATACCAATAACGGACGGCGGGAAAAGAGCAGTTCCATTTTCTTCCAAAAGAGATGCAAACTGAAAGGAAAGGTGCACATAGGGAAAGCAACATTTCAAAGTAGTCCCTTTAACCTTCTCTCCTTCAAGGATCTAATGCATAGAGCGGCATCATATCTTGTCGAGCTTCTCGGCCTTGACAACCGGGTTGGCCTTTGCAATCGCATTTCGAGCAGCCGACCGATAGTCAAAAGGGCAGTTGTGCTTGTCTGAGTAGCGATGGACCCCACAAAAAAGGCTCCCGCACTTGCAATTGAAACCCATCAACCCAACTCTCTTACGGCAAGCAGTGCACCGATTTGGTCCCTCTTTTGCCTTAACCTCTCCCCCTCCTTCTTCTGATGAAGACCCAACAAGCCCTGATGGCTGAGAAGTTACAACCTTGTTCTCAATAGGGCCCACCACTACATCAGCAGCATTGGCAATTATAGGATCCTTGCTGTTGTTATTGCCATTGACGATGCTCCCGATAGAAGAGGCAGCGAGCTTGGCCTGCTCCTGCTTTAAAATGAGATCCTTGTGACACTTGGAGCACATGTTCATTGTCGCCGCACTTCCGAAGAAGCCACAGTTGTTGACACAGAGGATGGGTCCCTCACGAGCCTCACATCCAGTCTCATCATGCTCCATATTTTTATGACCCCTGAGTATACACACCTCAGTCATCAATGCTTAAGACAAATTAAAGAGGAAAAAGAAAGAAGTAAGGTAAACTTAGGCTTTTTTTTTTCTTGGGTTTTTCATCAGTAGGAATCGAACTTGAGACATAGCATTCCAATCGTGAACAACTAACAACTCAAACCGAAGTACGAAACCTATGTAAACTTAGGCTTCATTCTAGACGTAAGACATTTGTTTTACACGAGGGAGGTGAGGTATGCAATGAATTAAGCGACCCATAATCCACACATCCACATAAAAAGCTGATACGAGGGAGGTGAGGTATTCAATGAATTAAGTCTGTCCCACAAACATGCCAAGCTGAACTACCCTTTAACGACCCATAATCCACACATCCACATAAAGAGCTGATCTAGCACGCACACACCCACCCACCCACCCACACACACAAATCAAAATTAATATCTGCCAAGGTGTCGCCTGTTGGAAATCTTCATACATATTACTCCAAAAAGCAATACGTTTCACACACACGATAAGCAACAAAGGAAAATAAAATAAAACACATAAATAAAAGAGGAGGAGGAGGAGGAGGAGAAGACAAAGTTTAAAAAGAAAGGAATGGTTTGAAATCTTGACATACATGTTACAAAAAATAGAAAAATAGTAGAAACTAATAATGCTAAAATCTCTGACAACTCAACCGACCACCCAACATACGCCCCACCAGACCCATACTCATAAAAGGGAAACTTGGAGTGCCCCGTGTTCATGAGCCTTGGCTTAAACTAACCTTAGACAACCGCATGATACAATTTCATAAAATCGCTTGCAGTCGCAACCTTTCTCCACATCATGCCATGTTGACTCAATACTACAGGTTTGTTCAAAAATACAGAAGGAAATAACCAACTAGTTACAGGAGTTATTATGCAGGTAACCGAACATTAAGTTTAAACAAGCTTTTGGTAAAACTGTTCTTTACCCATGCAAGAATACAGAACCAGGAAAAACTTCAGGAGCATATTTTCAAACAGATTGTCACCAATCATCAAACTTATCCTTGAGGAGATTTAGCATTAAACCTAACAAGAAAACAAATTATTTCAGTAAAACATAAACTCGATTGCAACTATTTTCAAACTCTACTTACCTAACATCACGGTGCTGGTACATATTTGGAAAGGGTAATAAAAGATCTAGAAGAAGAAGAATATAACCCAATATAACTTTTCAGAAACTTACTTGCCGAACCATCATGGACTTAAACAAGGAAATATTCTCAGATTGATTCTCATACATAAGAAAATTAACCGTCTGAGAGATTTAGCCCAAAAAATAAAATAATCAAATTTACAAAAAATGGTTTTTCTCCAACAGAACGGAAAACCCTACACTGCTACCAAACAAGGACATCCAGGTTCACATAATCATAGGAAATTTTGTGGAAATCCCAATTCCAACATCATCTGAAATTCAGATTAAGAGGACAATTCAAATGTCAACCCAAAAGGTAACTTTATTGGCAATCTCAAACCCCAAAAATCTAACCACAGACGAAATCCATAGCAACGTCTGAAATTCACAATAAGAAGATAATTCAACTGTTAAACCCAAAAAAGTAAACTTTACTGGCAATCTCAAATCAACCTAACAATGGACCACATCCATAACCCTAAAGAAACAAAATTACAAACTTGCAGACCAATTCCCCTAAACCAAACTTTCAAAAAAAAATTCCAAAACCTAAATCGAACCTAGTGTCCAGAACCCCAGATAATCAATCCTTCGCAAAAACCTAACAATGGACCGCATCCATAGCCCTAAAGCAACAAATTTTACAAACTTGCAGACCAATTCCCCTAAACCAAAAATTCCAAAACAAAATTCCAACACCTAATTCAAACGTAGTATCCAGAACCCCAGATAATCAATCCTTAGAGAGAAACCCTAACCGTAACCAGACAAAAAATAATCAACCAAAACACCCAACACCAAAATCAACCATGGCTTAAATCTCAAAAACCCTCTGACCCCGAACAACAAAAACCTAACCCTAAATACCCAAAGATCTAAAATTCGAGAAATCCCTCACCTGATAGCCGCAATTAAAGAAAACGGGAGCACTCTCCTCTCAAAACCTCCCTCTCTTCTCTCTCAAAGAAGAAACGGCAACCAGACCAAGGGGCACAGTGAATCAATCCCACATGGCCAAAGCTTGTCTACAAAACCCTAGCTCTGATATGACGGAAACTACGCCGGCAAACACCGAAAATGGCCGGAAAATTTCGCCAATAAATCACAGAAGGGGAAGAGAGAGAAAGCAGATGAGGGTTTCGAAAGAAGGGACCTGCGCGAGGTTTAGGTAGAGAGAGATACAAGCCTCGCGAGGGCTGCGAATGAGGCGTTTCAGTCTCTCTATCCCTATTTAACCCCTTTTTGGGGCTCAATAAATGAGTTAAATGACTGAAACACCCTTATCTTTTTTCAAATGCCCAGATGGTTCAACTATTTCAGAATGACACATTGGTCCTTAGATCAGGGAAAATGACTTAACTAACCTTGGATTTAGTGGTGAAGGTCAGTATTGGCCTGGAAAATCTGAATGTTCCGGACTTTTAAGTCCCTGACTTTTCTAGAAATGGTGCAACCTTAAACAATCGAGGTGCACCACCAAATTTTATCAGTAGTTTTGGTATAAATAACTTTTAGATTCCATATCTGATTATCGTACGTTAGATTTTAAAAACGGTTCAAATAAGTAGATATATGGACATATTAAAATCTTGAAAATTTAAAGTCCAGGTAATAGATTGTAAGATGCATTATTTTCTTTAACTCAAAATTATTATTATTTTTTATATTTATATATCTCAATGTCGAGATAATCAATTAGATTGCTTTCCAACTTCAAAAAAAAACCTCTTACAATGGATTTTTTAGGCACAGTTAATTCTACATTTTAAGATTACGACCTTGTACAAATTTTTTTCTCAAAATAGACATTGTAGTCAATGGAAAATATGCCCTACACAAATGGTTTTTGGGTTAACGGGTGAGTGAAGAATGGCCTTTAATTGGCCTTGATGGATGGTGAATATTTTTTTTAGTAGGCTGCATGTTTTCCAAGACAAGATTGAAATGTATGTTATGCAAAGAAAAACTAATAACCTAGAAAAATAAAAATAAAATAAAAAAGATTTGAGATATTATACTATCTCTTTAGGTCAAGAGAGTCTACCCAGCTTTTTTTTTTACAAGATCAAACTTTTTATTCAATCACCAATAATCTTTTACAAAGAAATGACATATTTCCTTTAAGAAAAAAGTTTATATAAGGTTACAACCTTATAATATAGAGTTATGGATGCACATCAAAAATTCATTAGAAAATGTAGTTTTAATGTTGAAAAACCCTTTGATTGATCATCTCAACGTCAAGATTATGACCATGAAAAATAAAAAGATTTTAAGTCTCAGAAATAGTGCATTTTACAACATATTATCTGCACCATCCATTTTCAAGATTTTCATTTATAGATCTACTTGATTTTAACCATGTTTTGAAATTTAAAATTTTATAATTGGATATAAAAATTGATTTTGAGATAATCCTAAGAACATTTTACATCAAAATTATATACCATGATAAAATTTGAAGGCGCTTACCTCTACAGCTACGGATGCATCTGTATGCCAACTGCACCCTTCCTTTAAATACATTTAGTTAGAAAAATAATAAATACATAAAACTCACAAACAAAAATAATTTTTTCTCTCTCTATTCTCCACGTAACACTTTTTTAACCCACCCTTATCTCGCTCAAGTTTCATACCTTGTAGAAAAAGTTTGACATCTTTTCCAACTCTTCATTATCTCTTTCTTTATTTTTTTCCATTTCATGATGTTTATCAACCAATTAAGAGATAACAACATTAACCCCCACAAAAATAGAAATTATATCCTCATGAAAATCAATATTAAGCAACTTCTATAGACAATTTACTATTCCATTATTTAAATATCAACAAATAAAGAAGACAATAATAACCTAAAGAAAATTAAAATATCAAATAACACATTTTCTAATATTAAAAATTAAAAATTAAAAATTTCAAATTTTTATTTGCATTGAGAGAAGCTCGAACTAGATCTTATAGAACTCAAAGCTTATAGAGGTGGAGCTTATAGAACTCAAATCTTGTAGATGCCTTCTCATAAGTTGTGATGCAATCTCAACATTCTTCCAGTTACGTTTTCTTCCTCAAATAAACAATTGATCCAACATGGTTTGTAAGTGGAATTTAAGACATTGAGCTATGGAATACCAAACAGAATTTTCATTTCTCCTTTAGCATCATAGGATGGTAGTTCATAAGCTGCAATACACATATTTTTCCTTACAATTTTCAAAATTTCTTTCATGTTTTGACTATCAATATCATCTTTTACATCGAGATCTATTTATCCATATTATTCATCCTCTTGCTGCAATCTATTAAATAGATCTCGTAGGCTTTGTTACATTACTTTGCTAATACGTTCAAATAGGTCTTCTTCGAGTTTCTCAAATTTTTTATTCAATCACTAAAATATTAGATCTATACGGTCCACAACTAGATCAACAATTGCTTGTGATCAACAAGGATCTCATGGCTCTAATACTAACTGATGAGGAAAAATAATAAACTAAAAAAATAAAAATAAAATAAAAAGGATTTGAGAGATTATACCCGCTCTTTGGGTCTGCAAAGGAGTCCACCTCAATATCTTTTCACAAGATCAAATCTTTACTCAATCACGAATAATCTCTTTATAAGCAAGAGATACATTTCATTTAAATACACTTAGTTCAAAAATTAAATAAATATATAAAACCTACAAACAAAAATAACTTTAGTAATGATGCAAATAAAAATCGGGGTTTTTTATTTTGATTTGTGTTTTAAAACTTTAGAAAAGGTGTTATTAAAAAAATTTAAATTTCTTTAGGGTCATTCTTCTTTCTTTAGTTGTCGATATTTAAAAGATAGAATAATAAATTCTCTATGGGAGTTTATTAGTATATATATATTTATGAGGATATAGTTTCTAGTTTTTTGTGGGATTGTAATATCCTAATGGGTTGATAAGCATCATGAAATAAATAAATAAGATATGAGAGAGTTGGAAACGATAATAAACTTTCTTTTTACATGATATGAAGTTGAGAGAGATAAGAGTGGGTTGAAAAGTGTTACTTGGATAATAGAGAGAGTGATAAAGTTATTTTTGTTTGCGGGTTTTATATATTTATTTATTTTTCAACTAGGTATATTTAAAGAGAAGTTGTCCATTCTTTGTAAAAAGATTATTCATTATTGAGTAAAGAGTATGATCTTGTGAATCTTGGGGTGGATTCCCTTGCAAATCAAGAGAGAGTATAATCTCTCAAATCCTTTTTATTATTTTTATTTTTTTAATTTATTATTTTTCCCTGCATCAATATGGTATACCATGGTGGGGGTTGTCACCATCAGTTCCTATTGATGGACGCATAAGATTAAATGTACTGAGTCAGATGCTTGATATTGGGAAGTAAAGTGAGTTCTATCTCCAACTAATTTGCATGTATGATATCTCGGAGCATTGCTTTTTGGAAAGTATATTTACGATATCTAGTGAATTTTACAAAAAAACTCTTATTTTTATTTAATAATTTAAAAGTAATGCTTTTATAATTCATATTTTGCACTTAAGTCTCATTTTTTGATGATGTACAACCTATCTTATCTTTATTTGAAGTATAATGAAAACCGGTTTAAAGTCCATTCTTTAATTATTGATCGTGTCCTTTACATATTTCAAAAGAATTTATATTATCTTGTATTCGTGATAGTGATATATATATTACCGGAAATCAATCATTCAAAAAAACTCACCAATCTGATTGATAGTTAGGTGGACGATTCCGGATGGAAAAGCCTTCAATTGCTAGATTCTCCAAGTTCTATAATTTTTGAAAGTTCATTATAATTTGTAGGCTTGTTCGACCTGAGGATCATAAGAGTCGGAGTAAGGGAATCAGATTCACAACCCTACTAGGTTGGAGCTTGAGATAGTGATATGAAAAAAAATATATATTCTTAGGAAACTAACTAAGATTTTGGATCCCAAGAGTAAATTGTAATATTTGCCAAGCTCTCTTTTATAGGAAAAGAACCCGGGCTTAATTGGCTAGCGCTTGACGATTTGCAATGCTACATCCTAGGCTCAATTCTTATTAGGGTCGGGGCCCTTTCCCTACTGGCTCACCCAAAAAAAACAATAGTAGTTGCATAATTATTTATATCATATCTCATATCAGGAAGTTATCACATAATTGTTTATATCATCTCTCATATCAGGGGGTTAGCAGGGGCGAAACCTTGAGATTTTGTCTTTTCCTAGTCCCCAACACTTCAAACTTAATATTGATGGTCCGTCCTTTCAGAACTTACAGATTACATGGCCTCAACAATAAACTAAATCCATTATTCTAGTGGCATGGTCTTTTCTTAGTTCCCAACACTTCAAGCTTAATGTTGATGGTCTGTCCTTACAAAACCCATGGCCAGCAAGTGGTGCCTACTGGCTCACCCAATTAAAAATAATAGTTGCATCAATATTTATATCATCTCTCATATCAGGGAGTTAGCACGGGCGAAACCTTGAGATTTTATTTTTTCCTAGTTCCCAACACTTCAAACTTAATATTGATGGTCCGTCCTTACAGAACTTACAGATTACATGGCCTCAAACTAAGTCCATTATTCTAGTGGCATGGTCTTTTCCTAGTTCCCAACACTTCAAGCTTAATGTTGATTGTCCATCATTACATAACCCAGGGTCAACAGGTGGTGATAGAGTTATTCGAGACTGTGATGGGGTTTTCATTGTAGTGTTTGCCACATCTTTTGGTATTGCTTCCAATAATTTTATGATAATTATTTGCTTTGAAAGAAGATTTGACATAGATGTTCGGATGAATTGATGTCCCCTCCAAATAGAAAGTGACTCACCCAAAAACAACAATAGTAGTTGCATAATTATTATATCATCTCTCATATCAGGGAGTTCGCAGAGGCGAAACCTTGAGATTTTATCTTTTCCTAGTCCTCAACACTTCAAACTTAATATTGATGGTCTGTCCTTACAGAACTTACATATTACATGGCCTCAGGTATAAACTAAGTCCATTATTCTAGTGGCATGGTCTTTTTCTAATTCCCAACACTTCAAACTTAATGTTGATGGTCCGTCCTTACAAAACCAAGGGCCAGCAGGTAAAGATTGAGTTATTCGAGACTATGATGGGGCTTTCATTGTATCGTTTCCCACATATTTTGGTATTGCCTCGAATAATTTAACGAAATTCTTTGCTTTGAAAG